CGAAACTCTTACACATGTTTGACTCGAATGTGCCCGGAACTAACGCAACAATCACATGTTGAAAACCATGCGCCCTCGATCCGTGAAGCTCTTACAACTGTTTAAAACGAGTGTACGCGGCGCTGACGCGAGAGCCACATGTTGAAAACCACCCGCTCTCAATCCGTGAAGCTCTTGCAAGTGTTAGAAACGAATGTGCGCGGCGCTAAAGCGAGAGCCACATTTTGATAGCGACCCGCCCTCCGTCTGTGAAACGGTTGTCAACGTTTGAACATCAGGGTCATAAATGGTGAGGAGGTCTCAAGCGAAACGCCCAGCCCGCCCTTTCGACCGGCCTCGGGGTGCGACAGGGAGGACTATCTAGAAGGAAAAAGAATTCAACAGGAACGTTTCTGCCCCTTTCTCAGCCTCTGCAGAGACTTCCGAGGACATCTGGGGACCCCCTGGGAGTCCAAGAGAATCCGGCAAGTAAACACGCATTCCCACAGGGGGGGGCAGAGGGAGGACACGATGTCCAAGTCTGGCCTCTGCTGGCCAGGCAGCCCAGACACACAGGCGAGAAAGACGGGGAAGAAGACACCGACGACGACGGAAACGACGGAACAATGACAACGACGGCGACGGCCATGGCGACGAAAAACGAGGAAAGCTATGTGCGAGCGCCGTATTTCTGCTTCCTCTTATGATGCCTTCTGCTCATCGCTTCCCTCCTCCACAACTCCTCCATTCTCGAGTTCCCACTCCGCCTCCTGTGCCCTTCATCCCCTCTCCTGGTCACTTATCCTCCTCCTCCTCCTTCTCCTCATCATCATCATCAGCAGCATCCTTTTTCTTTTCCTTTCCCTTTTCTTCCTCTTCCTCCTCCTCCTCCTTCTCCTCCTCCTCCCCTATCACCCTCGTCAATCCTCCTCCATCCTCCGCCTACTCCACCTCCACCTCCTCCTCTTCCTCCTCCTCATTATCCTCCTCCTCCTCCACCTCTGCCTCACTCCACCTCCTCACTCCGCCTCCACCCCCGCCTCCTCCTGTTCCTCATCCTCCTCCTCCTCCTCCTCCTCCTCCTCCATTCCTTTTCCTTCAATTTTTTTTTCTCCCTGTCGCAGCCCGAAGCCAGTCTTTAGGGTGGGCCGGGCGCTTCGCTTGAGAATTCCTCACCATTTACGACTCTGAAATTTAAGAATGGGCAGCAACTTCACAGATGGAGGGCGGGTGGTTTTCAAAGTGTGGCTCTCGCGTTAGCGCGGCGCACAATCGTTTTAAACAAGAAAGAGCTTCACGGATTGAGGGCTGATGGTTTTCAAAATGTGGCTCCCGCCTTAGCGCGTCGCACATTCGTTTTGAACATTCGCAGGAGCTTCACGGATTGAGGGCTGATGGTTTTCACAATGTGGCTCTCCCCGTAGCGCGGCGCACATTCGTTTTGAAAATTCGCAAGAACTTCACGGATTGAAGGCGGGTTGTTTTCAATACATGGCTCTCGCGTTAGCGCGGCGCATATTCGTGAAACATTTGCAAGAGCTTCACGGATTGAGGACGGCTCCTTTTCAAAATCTGGCTCTCGCCTTAGCGCGGCGTATATTCGGTTTAAACATTTGCAAGAGTTCCGTGGATTCCCGTCATCAAAGTTCAAGAACATGTGTGCTGGAAGGATTCGAGATTATATGCGGGTGCAACAGTTAGATTGATTCTCCGTGTTGAAGTCCCTGGAATGGCGTTCTGGCACGATTCAGGATCGTCAAAAGACGACAGTCAGTTTGATACGTGGCGTTGAACCCCGAGAATTCAACGAGGTTGTCTCCCAACGAGGCAGTCCCCTCAATGGAAATGAAACGTTGTAGGGGCCTATGAAGATGGAGCTTGGAGGGAGGGTTTACTCCTACATCGTTGATGATCTGTGGGCTTACATTGGTCCTCCTCCTCCTCCTCATCCTCCTCGTCCTGCTCCTCCTCCTCCTCCTCCTCCTTCTCCTCTCCTCTTCCTCCTCCTTCTCCTCCTCCTCCTCGTCCTTGTCCTTGTCCTTGTCCTCGTCCTCGTCCTCGTCCTCGTCCTCGTCCTGCTCCTGCTCCTGCTCCTGCTCCTCCCCCTCCCTGCTCCTCCTCCTGCTCCTGCTCCTCCTCCCCCTCCCCCCTCCCCCTCCCCCTCCTCCTCCCCCTCCTCCTCCTCCTCTACTCCTCCTCCTCCTCCTCCTCCTCCTCCTCCTCCTCCTCCTCCTCACCCCGCACTCCTCAGTCAGCCGCCTAGTCCTCGTCCTTGTCATCGTCCTCGGCCTCGTCCTCCCGCTCCTCCTAGTGCACGAGCCCCCTGCGCACGCAGACGCCCCCGAGTCCTGGGAGACCCTGTGACATGCTTCGCTTCGTCCTGCCACGCCTCCTCCTCCTCCTGGCGCGGCGGACACGGCCTTCACCGCAGCGCGAGCCCCCCCCCCGAGCCTGGTGAGCAGCAGCTCAAGGAGAGGAAGAGCAGCGCGATGACAAGGCAGCTCCTCCCTCATCCTCCCCTCCCAGGCGGCGCGCCTGCGCGGCGCGGACGGCCAGCTCATCGAGGCTCTGGCTCTCCGGCGCTCCCCTCTCGAGGGCCAGGCCGTCCAGGGCTCTGACCTGGCCCGCGGGGGCCCTCCTGCGATCCGGGCGCCCATATCCCCATCAACTGCCGCTCCGGCCGCCTACATCTCCATGTAGGGGGGTCAATCTGCCAGTGAGACTCAGACCTTGCCCCGCGGGGCCGTCCAAGGCACTGGCCTGGCCCGCGGGGCCCTCCTGCGATGCGGGCGCGCGGCATGTCTTTCGCAGCGGCTTCGGGCGCCGGGGCCCTCACACGGATCGATTTCTGGCTCGAAAGCTGCTGCAGAGGTTAGTGGTCAAGGGTCCAGGCGGTGATGTTTCATGATGCTGCACTTTTGTTGTGGCTTCCTTGTCCTCCTCGTGTTCCTGCTCCTCTTCCTCCTCCTCCTCCTCCTCCTGCTGTTCCTCCTCTTGTTCCTCCATTTACTCATGCTCGTTCATTATCCTCCTCCTCCTCCTCCTCATGTTGGTCGCCCTTTTCCTCCTCTTCTTCTTCCTCCTCCTCATCCTCCTCCTCCTCCTCCAGCTCCTCCTCGTCGTTCTCATCCCTGTGACCCTCGTTCTTCACATCTGCTGCTCCTCCTCCTCCTCCTCCTCCTGCTACTTTTATTGCTCATTACCTTCCTCCTCCTCCTCCACCTCATGCTGCTCGCCCTTTTCCTCCTCCTCCTCCTCCTCCTCCTCCATCTCCTCCCCATCCGTCATTTCCTGTGACCCTCGTGTTTCATGTCGTCGTCCTTCTCCTCCTTCTCCTCCTCCTCCTTTTCCTCGTCCTCCTCCTCATCATAATCACCATCAGCAGCAGCAGCATCGTCATCGTCATCGTCATCGTCATCGTCATCATCATCATCATCATCATCATCATCATCATCATCATCATCACCACCACCACCACCACCGGTATCATCACCAGCATAATCTGGCTCCCCTTTCGCGTCGTCTTTGTCGTCGTCCTCATCCTCCTCCTCGATTTCCCGCCCATTCTCTCCTCCACCATACGTACCAATCCTCAATATGTCTTGTTCTCCTCCGCAGCATAATCAACAGCATTATCGCCATGATGATGATCATCATCATCAGCATCATCATCACCGTCATCATCATCACCATCATCATTATCATTGCCATCGCCACCACCGTCATCATCATCATCACCATCATCATCAGCATCACCATCATCATCTTCATCATCATAATCATCATCACCATCATCGCCATCATTATCATCATCATCGCCGCCACCACTACCAGCATCATGTTGATCATCATCACCTTGTCATCAACATTATCGTCCCCTTCATAAGCATCTACGTCATCAGCATCCTCATCATCATGGTCATCAGCATCTCCATCATCAGAAGCAGCAGCAGAGTTGTAATAACTATCTCCACCATCATTAGAACCATCCGCATCACCACCACCCTCATGATCCTCATCAGCATCATAGTCATCATCGTCGTCATCATTAGCATTAGCATCATCATTATCATCATCACCATCCACATCCTCACTTCTCCTCCTCCTTGTGCTCCCCCCTTGGCCCTCCTCCTCCTCCTTCTCATCATCCCCATCATCATCATCATCAACAACATCAGCATCATCGTCATGATCATCAACATCACCATCATACCGCTATCATTACCAACGCCACCATCATCATCATCATCATCATCATCATCATCATCAGCATCATCATCATCATCATGTTCATCCCATAAACAACATCGCCAACGTCATCAACATCACCATCGTCTCCAGAAGCAGCAGCATCATCATCATCATCATCATCATCATCATCATCATCAGTATCGCCATCGTCAGAGTAAGCGTCATCACAAACACGCTCGTCACTACCAGCATTCTCTTCACCACCGCCACCTCGTGATCCTCATCAGCATCATCCTCACCATTCGCTCTGTCATCCTCACCATTCGCTCTGTCATCCTCACCTTAATTCTCCCTCTCCTCCTCCCCCTCCTGGTGCTCCCCCCTGGACCCGCCTCCTCCTCCTCCTCCTGTTCTTCCCAACCCCTTCATTATGCTCCGCCTCGTCCTCTTAACCCTCGCGTCTCCATTTGCTCGACTGTCCTGGGTACTCCGTGCCCCCGAGAACGGATCTCCAGTCGAGAGAGCGCGCGACGGCAGAAAATGGCAAGGCCCCAAGAGAATACCACCGTCCCGAACACAAAAAAAAACTGGAAGCAGTCGTGGAGCATGCTTCGGATCGCTGCGATGTCGCATCGAAGCCATGCGGTCGTCTGAAGACCCCCTGGTCTTATTGGCGACCCTGGGCCACGTGGCCCCCCTGCCCCCCTTCCAGCGCTGGCGGGGGTGAACGCCGAGAGCCACTCCTCGGGCCAGCTTCGGTTTGGGGCCAGGGGCGGGGGGGGCGCAAGGCTCAATCTTCCCGTCATCTTTTTCTTGTGCGCATCGTGACGTGAACGGCCCCCTACTCTCCCCCCCCCTCCCCGCGGTCACGCCCGTGATCGCCAGGGGACTCAAACCTGGCCTCCAACGATGACAACAGTTGGGGCGGTGAAGTGCGCGAAATGGCCGAAGCAACTCAAGAATCCCTCAAAGTGTCACCCCTTTATGCCGTGTCGTGCGGGCGGCTGTTGTTGACTCACTCGGCGTCTGGCCGTCCCACGCGGTCTGCCACCGCCGCGCTGCCGGAGGCTGTGGCCACGCCGGCGCCTCCGCGGGAGAAGGGGAGGAGGAGGACGTGGAGGAGCTCGAGCAAGAAAGACTGCGTGTAAACATATGCTCTCGGAGGCCCGCGCGGAACTCTTGGATCGGCGGTTGGCCCCCCTTGCCCTGGCTCTCTCGGCGCGCCACGCTCGCCATCGCTCGGACGTCCACTCCCTGTGCTTCTTTCGATTTCGTGCGTGGCTTTCTCGCCAAATGATCAAGGATGCTCCTCGATGGTCCTCGCCGAAGGAAACATGCACACGTCCGAGCGATGCCAAGCACGGAGGGGGCTCCAGCGCCGATCCAAGAAATCCGCGCGGACCTCCGAAGTCTGATATGTTTATCATACTTCCTGCTTCTTCGAAGGGGGATGAACCGAAAGAACCCACGGGGCGCCTTGGTAACAATCCAGCGCCAGCTGCCGGCATCGGATGGCGAACAGCGATGCCCAGACTGTGCTGAGCAGGTGCGCCACGTGCGCCAGCGCCTCACCGACCCCCATGGCGGTGAGGCGGAACACCACGACCTTGGAGCACAGCGTCACCACCATGGCGTAGGAGTTCAGCATGACCAGGAATCCGTGCGACTTTCTCGTCGCCGCTGGGCCAACAACGTGCAAATTCATTTCCAGGGGCACGGAACGATTCGAGAGCGCGGCGAGCAAGAAGCGGGTGCGCCGCGCTGCCGACGGGAAGAACAACAGAGTCCTGAAGGTGACGTAGAGGGGTGGGACCAAGACGGGAGCCATTCCGAACTCTGATGGGATTTTGTATGTTGGCTCGAGCTCGTTATAAATGACGAGGACGGATAACACCCAACCGTTGATGTACAGCATGTAGTTTACCAAGGTCATCAGTACGTTGATTGGGCTATGCCTCCATATAGAGAGCCAGCACACCGTTAGACACGCTGACATCCCAAGCATCGCCCACAAAGAAGTGCTGCAGAAACCCGCGCTGTCATGACCCCGACCCCAGAACCACGCGACAAGGTGCGTTACAACTGTGAGGGCGCCCTGGCCAAGCGTCGTCCACACCAGAGGAGTTGAAACGAGCCTCCGCGTGGCTGGGCGTGATCTCTGCGATTGGCCAGATATCCAACCACGGGTGCTCTTTCTGCCAGGCTGGGAAAAGGGCCCGCCACACACGCGGTTGCAGTGGAACCAGCATCATGTATTCAGGAGCGGCCACCAAAACCGATTCGGAGTGCTCGTGATCCGTGTCTGGATGAGCATGGCGGTGCCTGATGCGCAAGCCATTTCCCCCCGCCGTTCGCATGACGTGATCATGCCAACAGTCTGAAGCATTCACTTCTGCCGGCACGCCATGCTCCTCCCCCACATGCGAGTGAGGCTTAGCGAGCCCACCATGACTGTGGACGACAACGCTGTTCGCAGTCACATGCGCATGAAACCCCATGAGCCGCACGTATCCCGGCGAAGACCAACTGGCTGGAAGCCGAGGCCTGGAACCGAAACGCGACCCCGCTCGAGCCACCTTGCATGAGTGAGACCCTGAAGCGCTGACACGAACAAGAAGCACTAGCCACTGCCCAGCTTCAACGGCTTCAGACGGGTGCGGCGGCAGGATCCACGAGGTCCGCATGCCCTCCGATTGTTTTGGACGTGGCTCCGAGAAGCGTCTAAGAGCCTCCAAGGCAGGTGGCCCCAGCATCGAATCGATAAGTCGAATCGGATCGACGCAAAGATCGAATCGGCAGAAATCGGCAGAAATCGGCAGCCACGTCGAAATCGACAGAAGTCGGCCTAATCGGAAACCCGATCACGGCAAGCCGGATCGGAATCGAAATCGGAAGGCCGGGAGGGTAAAGGAGGAAGTGGGGGAGGTGATTGGCCGTCCCATCCGCCCCTCCTTCTCCCGACTGTTGTCGTCGCGCGTCGTCGTAGACGTGAACGTATGTCGTCGCACGCGCGTCGTTGCATACGGGCCTTGGGGCCCCCCTCGGGCCCCCGACCCTCCACGGATCCAAGGGGACCCCTCTCACCCTCCCCGAACCCACAGTCCCCCCCAGAGTCCCCTCGCCCACTGTCCCCCCGCTGTCCCCTCCCCCACAGTCCCCCCCCCACTGTTCCTTCTCATTGTCCCCTCCCGCTGTTCTTTTCTGTTGTCTTCCCTACTGTTCCTTCCCCCTGTCCCCCTCCAATTGTCCGTCCCCACTGTCCCTCCCGCTGTCCCCTCCCACTGTCCCCCCGCAATCCCCTCCCACAGTCCCCCCCCCCCGCTGTCCCCCCCACTGTCCCCCCAACTGTCCCCTCCCACTGTCCCCTCCCACTGTCCCCCCTCCGCTGTCCCCCCCTCAAGGTCCCCCTCCATGGTCCCCCCCCCACTGTCCCCTCCAACAATCCCCTCTCACTGTCCCCCCCCACTGTTCCCTCCCAGAGTCCCCCCCGCAGTCCCTCCCCCAGTCCCCTTCCCACTATCCCCCACACTGTCCCCATCCCCACTGTCCCCCCACAGTACCGCCCCACTGTCCCCCCTCTGTCCCCTCCCACTGCCCCCCCCGCTGTCCGCTCCCACTGTCCCTCCCGCTCCCCCCCCCACGTCCCCCCCCCACTGTCCCCCCACTGTCCCCCACTGTCCCCCCCACTGTCCCCTCCGCACTGTCCCCTCCCACTGTTCCCCCCGCCGTCCCCCCCACAGACCCCTCCCCCACAGTCCCCTCCCCCACTATCCCTCCCCACTGTCCCGTCCCACTGCCCCCCCCCCCCCCCCCCCCCCCCCCCCCCCCCCCCACAATCCCTCCACTCCCCCCCCCCGCTGTCCCCTCCCACTGTCCCTCCCCGCTGTTCCCCTCCCCACTGTCCCCCCCGCACCGATGGCCCCCCCACTGTCCCCCCGCCATTGTTCCCCCCACTGTCCCCCCCGCTGTCCCCCTCCACTGTCCCCCCCCGCTGTCTCCTCCCACTGTCCCCCCCTCCAATGCCCCCCCCCCCCCGCATTCCCCTCCCAGTCCCCTCCGCAGTCCCTCCCTCCCCGCAATCCCTTCCCCCAGAATCCCTCCCACAGGTCCCTTCCACACTGTCCCCCCCCACACACAATCCCCTCCCCAACAGTTCCCACCTAATGTCTCTCCCGTTGTCCCTCCCCCGCTGTCCCCTCCCGCTGCCCCCCCCCAGTCCCCCTCACTGTCCCCCCTCACTGTCCACCACTGTCCCCCCGCTGTCCCCTCCCAGTGTCCCCCCACTGTCCCCCCCACTCCCCACTGTCCTCCTCCAGTGTCCCCCCTACTGTCCTCTCCCAATCCCCCCCCAAGAGCCGGAGCGAAGCTGGATCGGCAGGAAATCGGCCGAAACCGGCTGCCACTTCGAGTCGGCAGGAGGCGGATCGTGCGAAGGCGAAATCGGAATCGCAAATCGGAATCTCCTGATCGAGTCGGTTCGATTCGGCGGCTGGGGAAATCGGTTAGATTCGAGCTGGAGGAATCGGAAAGACCCCTGCCAAGGTGGCACCCCCCAAAACAGCTTTTTTGTTACAGCGCCTCTCCAGCCAGTCTGCTTCGAACAGTCCCCAGTGAAACAAGAAATAACCGCCAACAACCTACAACGCTGTACACAATTCACATGGATACAGCCTTGTGACTTTGAGAAATGCATACACGAGTACGCGGCCTCATGTTGAACGAACTCGCCACGACTGAAGCATATCGAGAAAGCGGAAACCCCAGTGCCAGCGGTGTATAAATGGGTGTGTTTGACAAAACATACCTTGCGGCTGTCACATATCCGCCGGCCCCCTTGTGGGGCCACCAGGCTGTAGGCGCGGGGTTCGCAGCCTCCTGTACCAGGTGTAGCTTGTAGTTTCCAGTGTTACAGTTCTGCTTCTTGCTGGTTACTGCAACTAGTTGATTGTTCTCCTTCTTGCTGGTTACTGTAACTAGTTGATTGACCGCGCGAGGGGGGGGAGGCCCAAACCGGCTTTTTAGCGTCCCCTGGGCGCGTTGTCTGAATTGCTGGGGGCGCTCGAAATCGCCACCACTCACGCAGATCCGCGGGGTCAGGGTCCAAAAACACAGGGGATTTGCCACATTTCTGAAATTCGGTGCCACCCCTCACGCAGATCCGCGGGGTCAGGGTCCAAAAACACAAGGGATTTGCCACATTTCTGAAATTCGGTGCCACCCCTCACGCAGATCCGCGGGGTCAGGGTCCAAAAACACAAGGGATTTGCAACATTTCTGAAATTCGGTGCCACCCCTCACGCAGATCCGCGGGGTCAGGGTCCAAAAACACAAGGGATTTGCCACATTTCTGAAATTCGGTGCCACCCCTCACGCAGATCCGCGGGGTCAGGGTCCAAAAACACATGGGATTTGCCACATTTCTGAAATTCGGTGCCACCCCTCACGCAGATCCGCGGGGTCAGGGTCCAAAAACACAAGGGATTTGCCACATTTCTGAAATTCGGTGCCACCCCTCACGCAGATCCGCGGGGTCAGGGTCCAAAAACACAAGGGATTTGCCACATTTCTGAAATTCGGTGCCACCCCTCACGCAGATCCGCGGGGTCAGGGTCCAAAAACACAGGGATTTGCCACATTTCTGAAATTCGGTGCCACCCCTCACGCAGATCCGCGGGGTCAGGGTCCAAAAACACAGGGGATTTGCCACATTTCTGAAATTCGGTGCCACCCCTCACGCAGATCCGCGGGGTCAGGGTCCAAAAACACAGGGGATTTGCCACATTTCTGAAATTCGGTGCCACCCTTCACGCACATCCATCGCAAGGCGTGGTAACCCAAACTGCGAGAACTCCCTCGGCCCTTTAATCGCAAGGTGTGGTAACCAAGCCCGTAAACCATACACGTCTTACCAATCGCCAGGTGTGGTAACCCCTCTTGTGATCAGTTGGTTTTGCTGATTGCGAATCGGCTTCGCATGAAGTTTCGATACTGCTTCACGACAGCGCCAAGGCCTCATGACTTAGCTCTTCCATGGCCCATTCTCCGAGAGAGGGGGCCGGCGGCAGGGGGCGAAGCCCTTACGGATAAAAAACTGTCTACGTGATGCACGGCCCGTGCCTACCGTCCTCAAGGGGGTGCAGGACACATGTGCGCAGCACTGCGGCCGTCATCGTCGTCGCGCAGAGATAAAGCCAATAATCTCCTCAATACCTGCCACCGAAACCACGCCGGAGGCCACCAAGTCACGGACTGCCCAAACTTATGTGTGCAACGACAGAGACTTACGTTGATACTTGTTTGTGGTGTATGGTGTGTTTGTATGTTTTTGTGCTGCATCCACGTGTTTTTCGCTGACGTGTGTTGATGGCTCCGTCCAGGCGGGGGCCCAAGAGTGCAAGTCATGATCCTGCTGCCAACGTAAGCCGCTGCAGCATTTTGTTTTCTCACACGCGCTGATCCCATAGTTAGAGTTGTCCCCCTCCTCCCTCTTCCCTCCTCCCACGTCCTCGTCCTCGTCCTCGTCCTCCTCCCACTCCTCCTCCTCCTCCTGCTCCTCCTCCCTCCTGGGATGTCACTCGGAAGTGATCCGCTTACCTTTCACTCCTCGGGCACTGCGAATCGATCTGTCTGAACGATGCGACGACGCCGACGCGCCTCAGAGTGCGCGACGACGACGACGCTACATCGGTCGGCGAGCAAGTGCGCCACTTTCAAGACCGACCAGATGCAGGGCAACCATAAGCGGTTTGAAATTCCACAGTGGAATTTCAAATAAGGCCTAGTGAAGCTTCACCGAGCACCGGAAAGCGCCGGCGCTGGGAATCCACCCAAACTGGGGCGCGGGCAGAAACGTTTTTGCCTCTGGTTGCTTGCGCTTCGGGGAAAGTTGGCCGGAGTCACGAAGAGCGCGATGCATGGACTCACTGCGGGACCTCGCCACCACACGCCGCCCAGCAGCGATCTAGCGATACAAAGTCCCATGAAGACGTCTTGTCGGAGTACGATCTCATCCGAGAGCGGGGCGCCGGACAGGCGTCGCTGTCAGAGAGGCCTGTGACCGCAGCAGGGGCAGAAGGCGAAGTCATGGCATGCTGTCTTTTCTTGCCAGTTTATATTTGGATATGATTATTCTCATTCCCCCTCCCTCTCCTCCTTGCGCTGCTGGCCGTGCTGAGTTTATTCTCCCGCCCAAGCGCTGGATGTCGTATGGCTTGAGTTCGAGTGCGAAGTCATGCTGCTCCTGCTTCCCACAGTGCCTCCGGCGGCTGCGGTGGCCCTGGCTGCTGCTGCCGCTGCGGGCCCGCGCCCCAGTTTGCGGCGCGCACTTGGGGGTGTGGGGGAGGGAGAGAGGCTTCTTATAAGGAGGCCGCTTCTTAGAAGGCGCTGGACCTACATCTACGGACAAGGCCCGCGCCTTCTAAGAAGCAGGGGTGCTTCTAAGCTTAGCTGCCCTGATACGCTACACGCGACACGTACCGTATTGATACGGAGCTCAGCACGTAGACTGAACACGTAGGTCTGACGCGATACGGTCGCCAAAACGTGGGCCAATATGCCGAGCCAACACGCAACGTATCCACACGGACACTCTGAACACGGTACGCGTTGTGCTTCAAGACGGGAGTGTCAGAGCAGCTAAGCTCATAATAGTCCCCAAGAGCTTGACGACCTTTCGTCGATCGACATGT